ACCACTTCACTGGAAATTATATTGATTTAATACTGAAAAAGAACAATTCTCATTCCTAAATTATATACCGATAGTCCTTGTCTTATGACCAGTCAAAGTTACAATGGACTCCAAAAAAAGGCTACTTATAACCCAGGTTCAAAGTTCCAATGTAAGTGCCCTCCTCCCAAGGTTACATAACTGCATTTTGGGTGCTTGGTAACTGGTCTGCATTTATGGCATTTATTTTAGTAGCACCCCGTGGTCACGTGACTGTGATGGTTTTACTTCCAGTTTCCAGCAAAACCCATTCATTTTATTTCTAGTTATTGATAGTTAAAAGTATTAATAGCTTAGAACTTACATAGTTCTTTACAATTTAGAACTTCCACAATTAATTAGAATGTGGAAAGCAATAGGTATAGATTGAGATCTGAACTTATCTTTCAAAGAGTTGGAAGGGACCTTGAGGTCTTCCAGTCCAGCCCCTCTCAAGCAGGAGACCCTGTACCATTTCAGACAAATGGCTATCCAGTCCATTCTTAAAGACCTGCAGTGATGGAGCACCCTCAGTTTCTGCAGGCAAGCCATTCCACTGGTTAATTGCTCTAACAAAATTTATCCTTAGTTCTAGTTTGCTTCTTTCCTTGATTAGTTTCTAGCCATTGCTTCTTGTCATGCCTTCAGATGCTTTGGAGAATAGGTTGACCCCCCCCTCTTCCTTGTGGCTGCCCCTCAAACAACAAAAATGCTTCTTTGTTACATAGGAATGAGGAGATTCAGTTCGCTCTCCCATTGGGAGAAAGTAGGAAATTATTTAGCCAGACTTCCTCTTCTTGCATTTCCCAGTGCTATTTAGATTCTTATGGAGGATTTGCTATCCTCCGAACCATCTTTTCAGGAATACAGAGAAAAAGGAAATGGGACAAGATTACTTCCTACCACTTTATCTGAAAAGTAGGAGAGTCTTATGTGCAGGACAAGTAATTTAAATAAAATGATACGTTCTTCTTAGTATAATATAGTACTAGATAATTTAATTATAAATTCTATTACACTTTTCTATTTCCAGGTGAGAACAACAAATTTATCATCTCGTAATTTTCATAAATTGCAGTCCACTTTTAAATTTCTAATCCTTAAGAGACCATATTTTATTTATAAAAGAACTGGTTCATTGATGAACAAACTAGTCTATGGACATTTTTAACCATGCCACAAATTCATTTATATACCTTATACATAATTTCATTTATACATTCATAATACACCTAAGCATAATATATTTGAGAACTCAAGATGGAAGATACAAATTTACATTTAATATAATAGCTCTATATTAATAAGCAAATGTGTTTCTGTAATAATAATGAAGTCAAAGTTTAGAAATTTTAGAGATTCTTTAAAAATCATTTGCATAGAAGTAAACCAAACTAAATATCGTTAAGTAAAAATATTTCAATCTCCTATATCAAGACTGAAACAAGTTTACTTGGAACCAAGTTACACTAACATCAGTGGAATTAATTTGTGAGTACTCATATTTAGAACTAGACTTTCTTAGTGCTTTCCTTTCATCTAGAACAGTGGTTCTCAACCTTTTTATATGGCGACCCCGGACATAAGCAGGCGGCGCGCATGCGCGGTGCCACCCCCTGCGCGGTGCCGCCCCTGCATGGCGCGCATGCGCGGTGCCGTCCCCTGCACGGCGCGCGTGTGCGGTGCCGCCCCCTGCACGGCACGCATGTGCGATGCCGCCTCCTGCGCGGCACACATGCGCGGCGGCGCCCCCTGACAAAAAAATGGCGGATCGCGTTGTTTGGCGACCCCCGTGAAATGGTCGATCGACCCCAAATGGGGTCGCGACCCACAGGTTGAGAACCGCTGATCTAGAAGGAGATGTTAGAGAAACACTGTATTTAATGGCATGCAATTGAATACCTAAAAATAGTAGAATAAAATAATACATATGTCCTGTTACTCTTTCTGTTTATTTTAAATAGCAGAAGATTTACATAAAACGTTGTAACATTATATCTTGATTAATGCTGTGTTTTAATTCATACTTCAGCCCTTCCTTTAATTTACAAACCACTAATAACAATTTTATTCAAGTTTTAAAAATTGTATTAATAACTGGAAAAAGTGGCAATCTGCTATTAAATACTTGCATCACGACTCCCAATCCTTTCACCTTATGAATATAAACCTCCTAATACATGTAATGCCTGCACTATACATTACATCCTTATGCAAATCCAGCAAAAACTCATTTCTGACTCATATCCTACTGCCCTGTCAACAGCACAGAAAAAAAAAATCAAAGGCTTTCATTTAGCATATCTTAAAACATAGGCTGTTTAACCCTCCAAAAAAGGTAGCTGATTTGTATTTTGTATACTTAAATACATCTAACCCAGTTCTAAAGAAATTAGCTTCCTAAGAGGAAATAGATCTTACTTGTGCAGACTGTGAATTTAAAACAAACTTTGCCTCTATTTTTGTTTTTAAAAAGTCAGAATAATTTTCTGTTGCAGAGAAACAGCTATTTTGTTCCTAACACTGAATAACATGTCAGATCTGAACTACTCATAGAATATATTTTCTTGCTGTTCATAATTATGCATTAATGTATTTAACTGTTTGTTTTTTCAGCTACCTATCCAAAACATTAAGACTTCCCTTCTCATACCAATACAGTACAATATATTATACAGCAGTGGGAATGAAAACCTTAAAAATGATCCCAAAGAGCAGTGTAGTAAATACTTAATGTGTCCCATAAAAATCACGATGGTCACATACATACAAAATCCACAATCCACATTATGGCAATTTATTTATCAGGCTAAATGACAATTAATAAAAATATTACCTTTCTAAAACATTATTTAAATAGTGCAACAGAAAATAAAAGGGCAATCTTTGTTTCTTTTCTTAGCTTTCATTTTTATTAGCTAATAATAGTATACTATTGTTTAATACAGTTTTTTTTAAAAATGATATAACAAAGACACCAAAAAATTCTACATTATCTATCTATCTATAAAAATCCAATTTAACTTCATTGAACATACTTGAGATTGTTTTGTAGCTCATTTAGAAATTGAACTTATTCTAACTTTTTTTTAATAAACTTAATTTCTCATTTTGTGGAGTGAATAAATGACAAGAGTGATTAGGAAGCATAATCTCAGCAGAATATAAATTATATGCCGATATCTTATTTATGCATATACTTGCACAAATGGCTACCTACACATTTATGTTTAAAAGAAAGAATAGGTTAAGGAATGCTAAGAGGCTATTCTTTCTCATCATTTCATTATTTTTAACACAGAGGCAGTGGTGGAATTCAAATGCCTGAACAACTGGTTCTCTTATTCGATGCAGGCCTGGGCCTCTGAGGCTAGAACAGACTTCCAGAAGTGGCATCCATGCAGTTCCGGTGGGCCGTTCTAGGCCTCCGAGGCCTAGACTGGACTTCTGGAAGCCAGCCAGTTCTCCGAATGCAGCAAAATCTAGCTACTGGTTCTACCAAACCGGTACAAACTGGCTGAATCCCACCACTGCACAGAAGTTATACTTAAAACAATGATATGAAGATATATACAGTATTTTAATCCAAGACTGTAAACAGTTAAGTCCATTTGATGTGAAACATAATAGTATTCTTCTACTATAACATTATCACAGCCAGTTTGGCCTAGTGGTTAAGACAACAGGCTGGAAAACAGGAAACCATGAGTTCAAGTCCCATCTTAACCACGAAAGCCAGTTGGGTGACTTTGGCCCAGTCACAGACTCTCAGCCCAACCCACCTCACAGAGTTGTTATTGTAGGGCAAATAGGAGGGGGAAAGCACATTGTATATGTTTGCCACTTTGCATTATTTATAAAAATAAAAAAGGCAGGATACAAAATAATAAATAAATCAGATACTATTCTGACCTAAGTATTTGCCCCCTCCTATCTAGCAAGAGACAACTTTCAAGAAACAGAATCAAGTGTAAGTCAACAAACTTCAGTCTAACTTGGATAGATTACTATATTACCATTTCCTAAACCAATGTTTCCCAAACCTGAGTAAGTCACTCAAAATTGGGTAAAAGTGTTTTTTCTTTGGGCAACAACACCATTACCCAATCATAACAGGAGCCAATTTTGACTAGTGGTGAAGGCATCAGACTATAAACCAGGAGACTATGAGTTCTAATCCTGCTTTAGGCCTGAAAGCCAGTTGGGTGGCTTTGGGTTGTTGTTGTTGAGGAGAAAATAGAAGGAGGAAAGAGTGTTGTACAGGTAGTCCTCGATTTACAACAGTACGTTTAGTGACCGTTCAAAGTTACAACAGCGCTGAAAAATGTGACTTATGACCATTATTCAGTTACGCAGCATCCCCATGATCATGTGATCAAAATTCAGATGCTTGGCAACTGGTTCATATTTATGAACACTGCTGTGTCCCAAGGTCATATGATCACCTTTTGACAAGCAAAATCAATGGGAAAGCCAGACTGGGTTACTAACTTATCAACTGCAGTGATTCACTTAACAACTGTGGCAAGAAAAGTCACAAAATGGGGCAAAAGTCACTTAACAACAGAAATTTTAGGCTCAATTGTGGTCATAGGTTGTACCTATATTAGGTGAAAAGTACTTTTTGATAAGTGGTATTGGGTAATCAAGGAAAAGGTTTGGAAAGCACCAACTTAAACCTTTAATTTGCAACCAGCTAGGTGAGAGTTACCAGTGATCTACTTTCATATCTAAGAGAAAGATCTGTATGAGGGTGACTTAGTGGAGAAAAATGTCAGAGCCTCTTTCAAAAATATGGTGCAATGCATTAGAGATATAAGCAAGTAACATTTGTTATGAAAATATATACTTGCTGTCTAATGTAAGATACATTTTCAAAAGTAGAAAAATACATTAATTGAACTTAGATTCTATATCCCAGACTAAATGTACATCAAAATTATATCTTATTTATGTAACTGCTATTCAGAAAAGTACCTTTATGAACTCTGCATTAGTTTCAAAGAATACACGTTATTTACATTTATATGACTAAAAATATATATGATCTTAAAACTAGTTCTCTCTACAACATGTAACATAAATAAAAGTAATTATTTTATGAATACATTAACATTGTTCCATGTGTATGAAAGTTTAATGCTTATTTCCCTTCTCACAGACCCCATAACTAGACCTAAAACGGCTGTCTCTAATAAACCAGACTTAAAAAAAGAAAATATAAATTATGACAAAATGATTTTTCATTCCAATAATAAACAACACTTCCAAAAAAGTTGCAGGATGATATGATATATACACAATAATCTTAATGTACACAGAATGCCGTTTAAAAGTGAGAAATCAAAGAAAGGGAGCCTCAAAACACTCACAATAATTCAACAATGTATCTATTATACAATGCCTGGTCGAAATCTGTCTAGAGTAGCTTAATTACAGGAAGTCAGGCATGAAAGCTCTGGTTTCCGGTTTATGCAGTAATGGTACAAATGTGAAAAAAGGCAGCAATTATTGAAGCATATTTAAAAAAAACTTCTATCATTTTCCTAATATAGGTAAGTAGCTTTTGATTGATTTGATTTTAATTGTTCTAAGTAAAGGACTTGTGAATGTTGCTTTACTAAAACCCACTGCAGCTTTTTCGTGGTCACATAAATTATTTTGTTATTTCCTTTGAACCATTTCTAAACTCATTCTTTCTAAAACAAATAATAATATGTAGAGAGAGGTGGGTGGAGGGAAGGTGTATATGTGTGTAACTGAGTCTAAACATTTTTGCCTCTTCCTCAGATATTGTTCTGTCTTTGTTTTAGATAGTGAGTAAGGACTCATCATATCACTTATTCCCAAAACACAGGTGGGAGAGAACAAACTCAGTTGCTGGAAATATAAAAGTACATGAAATACATAGGTTTGGTTTTCAAACTTATATCTGTGTTAAACTCTTGTAATACTAAACAATTATTTATTTTGCATTCATTTATTTCCAAATAAAGGGCCAGAATCAGACTGACTGGTCTGTGAAGGAAGGAGTAATCCCTTTTACAGAAGACATGTGGTTATCCATTTTGTAGCACTTGAGTCTCTCCCAACTCTCCATACTTTCTTTACCACAGGTATATTGAATTCAGGATTATGAGTGGAATCCTATTAAACACTACTCTGGATGTAATCTAAGATTCCTCATAGCTATATCAGGTAAAATATATATAAATTAATCTGCAGAGAGTGAACTTCAAATCTCCACATAACCATACACTTCATAATAACTTTGGATCATGTCTTTTGTGCAGTGATGTAATTCAAATACCTGAACAACCGGTTCTCTGTGTGGACGCCACTTCCAGAAGTCTATTCCGGGCCTGGGCCTCTGAGGCTCAGAACGGACTTCCGGAAGTGGCGTCCACGCACTTCGGGTGGGCCATTTGGGGCCTGGGAGACCTCCCCCAGGCCTCCGAGGCTCAGAACAGACCTCCAGAAGCAGCATCCACGCACTTCTGGCAGTCTGTTCTACTGTAGGTCTTACGAAAAAGGAATAGGGCTTCAGCCAGTTCGCCAAAGTCAACAAAAATTAGCTACAGGTTCTGCCGAACCAGTGCGAACCAGCTGAATCCCTCCACTGCCTTTGTGCAGAAAACCTTCATGCGGTTGTGAGAATTCCCAGTAAAAAGGTTAGATACAAATGCAACAGACAGACAGAAATCTAGATGGATACAATCACAAAATGTTCTTAATGACAAACCTAGCATTCCCACACAGCATTTCCTCCTTCCTATTATGCACTGTTAACTGTAAATATCATTTTGTTCCTTTATTTCTTCTTATTATTATTTGGGCACCAATTGCTGAGGTTTCTTGTGATTTACAATAACAATTAAAAGTAAAGATATTAACAGCAGCTAATATCCAAAGCTGAAAACTTAAGATCTTTCAAAAAGTGAACAAAGAGGATATACATCTCAATTTGGCACAGGGACTTCCTTCTAAAGAAGTACAGCAATTACAGGGAAAGCTTGAAGTTGAGCCATCATGAGACAAATCAATGGCAACTGTTGCCCAATATCCTCAGAGGACCTCAATGAGCAACAGGTAGGAGGGAATGCACTATTTCAGAAGCAGGGAACCAAGCCAAATAGAGTAGGGCAATAACTAGCACTTTGTATATTACCCAGAAACAAACTTGCAGATGATTCAAGGTGCAACGTCATCTGAAGTCCCATTTAACTTCCGAATTCTTTAATGGTAGCTTTCTGACACTACTGTAATACAGGACAGGTTATGAATATTAAATAATACTAACTATATTATCAACGCTGGCTAAGATTGGCCAGTGGAGTGCTAAGAGCATTTTCTTCCAGGAAAGGATGCAGTTGACATATCAACCAAAGCTGACACACTCCCTCCTAGCTATTGCCTTGGTCTGGGAAATCGTAGAGTCTTCCATCTCATGGCTAAAGAGAAGTTTCTTGAAGACGGGCTCCAGCACGAGTCCAAAAGCTCAGAAGATTAAAAATCTCTGATCCCGGTGACTGACCCAGATTGGATCCTACAACATTATCCTGGCACAAGTATATTCGCCTTCTTCATTTCTGTTCCTTCTGAGAAAGTTCTAATCAAACCAAGAATCAAACTCTGAATCAAGTTAACTATCACTGGAAGTTAAATACTAGTTTATAAATTGTCCATTTCCAATGTAACCATTATAGTCTTCTGTGGAATAAGTATAATGATAATCCTCTTTAAAGACAAATGTATGCCGTCTTCCTTCATGTATTATGTTTATTTGTTACAGCACCTGGGATGCTAACAAAGAACGTAAAGAACTCCCTGGCTAAAAGTTACAAGCCAAATTAAATAAGACTACAGAATACAAATGGTGGAATATCCCTTTTCAGGCAACTTGACAGCAATCTTGAGTGTTATAAACTGAAATCCATCTACTTTAACTATACAAATGGAATGGCAAAATACCTCCTGACTCTGCTAGTCTAGATCTCTAGATGAGATCTAGACTAGCTCAAATGCAAGAATATATACTGGCAAAACCCCATTCATAACAACATTGTTTTAAACTAGTTTCCCATATGTAATTGATTATAAAACATAACATCCTAATAAATGTTAATAACATTATTTAGTGCTTGAGCAGCATTTCTGAAATAATGCAGTTCTAACCCAAGGAAGCAAATATTATGGCTTAACCACTTAAAATCTCCAGCCCTCGATATGTTTATCACTATACCATTCATAGTCATGAATACAGCAGTCTCTGTTTTGTTAAGGGGAAAAAACCCAAGTTACATATTGAAAAAAAAAACATACTTATTGATTTGCTGACTTGAGAGATGTGGTGACCCAACCATATTATTACCCTATACATAGCATATACTTCTAAGTTTGGGACATGACTCAACCAAATCAATTATATCAAACAAATGAAGCACGCAGAAGGAAAGTAGAAGCCATCAATGGATTAGGATGCTATGAGACTATTAGGAGACTATATGGGTACCACAAAGAACATTCACAACCAGAATGGCATCATGTGATCTCATTGCTTAGCAATGGCAATCGTAGCAGCCTAGGTTGTTCTCATAACCCCAGGTTACTTGGAACATTTAGCACAGGGGTCTTCAAACTTGGCCCTTTTATGACTTGTGGACTTCAACTCCCAGAATTCCTCATCCAGGCATGCTGCCCAAGGAATTCTGGGAGTTGAAGTCCACAAGTCATAAAAGGGTCAAGTTTGAAGACCCCTGATTTAGCAGGAAGAGGTGAGAGTCTCACATAAGGAGTGGGGGGAAGGATGCATGGTTGTCACAGGCAGGCATTTATTAGAGAGTGTGGATGGTGGATGGGGATATGGAGTACAAGATCTCTGGAACTTACTCTGTAGTGGACTTCTTGGGAAAAAGAGTGGCAGGATCATCTTACTGCAGCAACTTGTGACCTTTCTTAACTGCTTCCCCCTTGACTTCTTTGTGGGAAGCTGCAGGAAAGGTCACAAAAGTTTGGACAAAACCTCAATAGTATGTCACTGTGAACATAATCACTATGAGTGTCAAAAAGTTTCAAACAGTCAATCAATCAATCGATCGATCGATCAAACAAACAAATAAACAAACAAACAGCTGAATACTGAGCATTTTGCCTTGTGGGGATCAATAGTACATGTCTTGTCAGACATAACTGAGAAAAGATTTGTCCAGATTTTTCAATAAAGAAATAAGATCTTGGGTGAACCTATTAGAAACCAATGCCATTAATTCTGGAACTGAGTTTCCTGTATAGTTGTATTAGTATATGTGCTGCTTTCAGCATTATATAACTCTCCATGACAATATAGGTCTAGACACTAACTTTTTCTTCCATCCTGCCTCTTCGGTGTTCTATTTTTTTTTTTTTAAGATAACTAAGAGAGAAATTGAGGAGAATGTTCTTGTGGCTTCAGATATGGGCCATGGTGCAAGAAAGATCTTTTACTTGGAATTAATAAACTCAAATGCCTTGAGTTTCCATTTGATATTAAAACAAAACAGAAAAAGAAAATTTAATATGAAACATATAATAGGGGTACAATATTAATATTACCAGACATGAATATTTTTAAGGACACGTTAGCAGGTTTTAACTCATTTCAGCTTATACAGATTTTTAAATGAATGACAACTGTAGAGTTATCCTGGCTCTTCTTCAGGACTTCAAAATTATAAAAGGATTATAACGAAGAAAAAAATATCACATCAGTGATTATATACTTTGGTAAAAAAAAGTTACTGTCCATTAATACACACTCTTGAGCAGGAGCTTTCACAATGTAAGCTAATCTTCTGTCTCCAAACAGAAATCTCAATTGATGGTATCCTTGTTCCAAAACTCAGCAAGAAAAAGGAAGAGTAATCGTTTCATTTAAATGTTGGTAATTTATATTAGAGAATACTGGCTAATTTTATTATGTCTTCAATTGGTTTTCATATGCAGAATCACTTAATTGCCTTTTTAATAATAATTTTATTAAGTTTATTAAGATGTACAGTAATATTCAAAAGAAAGTGAAAATGATGGGAAAAAGGGGGAAGAAAAAAGGGAAAAGAAAGCAATGTATGGTAAAGAGGGGATAAACAAGAAATATTGACTTCCGACTCCTTTTAGTGCAGTAAAAAGTAGTAACATTACAGCCTCAACTTTTTACTTTCACGTACTAGTCCATATCAGTCATTTCTGTAACAACAAACGTATCTAATCCTAAAGCCTAAAAGAAAATAAATATTGGGTAAGATTCATATTTTAATGCAGAAGTTCCTTAAAATGAGTATAAAAATAGAATCAATTTTTAATACTCATTTTAAGGAACTTCTGCATTAAAATATGAATCTTACCCAATATTTCTTTCCAACATATATTTAAAGTATCTTTGTACTACTTTGACAGTTTTTTAGGTGTTAAATGCCAATGACACATCATTTTATTAAAAAAATATTTTAGATTATAATTTCATGTAAATTTTAAACCATTCATCTAATTCGTTTTCCCATGATGGAAGCATTATATTATACCCTAAATTCTTGGTCCATTGCATCATGCAATGGATCACATGTTCATTCTCCAAATTCAATTCCAAGGTTTATAAACTTTGGCAATAACAAGAATCATTTAATTTTTCAGTCTACATATTCATTCCCAAGATAATAAAATACAATCTAGATAATGATGATTACAATTGTTGCAAATGTAATCTGAACTTAGATTGTCCTTGGAAAAAAAATAATTTCTATTTTCCATAGAGAGACAAAAAGAACACACACCATAGAACAGAATTTTAGATTCCTAACTCACATAGTTTATTTTGATTTAACCAATACATTTAACTAAAAGTAAGGAATTATTCCTTATTTCTTGACTTTCCAAGAATTCCTATGATAATATATTAAGAACTATATATAAGCTCTGCTGAGATAATAACATGTTTACCATTCTGTTCAACAGATTTTCCTGGACAGACAGACTTCACACTTATTTGTTATATACAAATCCAGGCATAAGAAAGTGACTTCAGCACCAAGTTGGCACATGAACCCAGGTTTCCCAGATCTCAATTCCAATCTGTAACCAGATTATTAGACTATTCTAATTTTCAAATTAGAAAATTAGACTCTTGTCCCATTTTTAGCACTTTGGGTCTTAGAAATAATGTTGCTATGAAGGTAAGTCTATGCAAAAATTTACTTGGTGATAATTCAGTCGTATGTCCAAAATACTCAGCTTTCTAAATTGGATCATCCATTTGATAGTAATCAGTTTAATGATACAAAATAATCCAACAATTCAATAAGTCAATCACTTTTTCCTGGATTGAATAAACTATGGCTGAATTTAAAAGTCCAGTTTGGCAATCCAATGTGAATAACTTCAGAGACCTTGACTGAATCAGCAACTGAAATCAAATTGAATTTGACTCATTCAGAATAATTCAGATAAACATAAATTAAACAAGTTTGATTATTTGAATAAGAGCAAAATATCGAATATTTGGTTATGTATTCCCTTACCTTCACTTTGGTATATGTAATTCCAAATCATTACATTACTTTCATAACTGCAAACATTTCCCCCTAATTGGCTTACAAGGCCTATGTTAGGAATATTTAATATTACTTTTTTCCAAATTTGCCCTTATATTACAGAAGAAAACATGGATAGTTTGGTTTAGTTTAGTAGCATTATTAATAAATTATTTAGCCATGCACAAATGACATGAATCCATTTTTACCCTGACACATACAGAAGACTCAATGAAATCTATGCAATTTAAGTTAGTTGTAACTAGCTAGTTCCACAGCTTTGTAACGTCATTTATTAAAAAAAAAATCAGCCCCATGAAATGCAAGTACAATTTATTTCTCAGTTTGAAGAAGACATCCTATTGTGCAGTTCATCTGTGAATATGGTGATGGCTCTGCAGTCCCAGTCTGGAAGTGCAGAATTTAGCAGTTATGGCAAACTTACGACACATATGTCCAAGGTGACATACCGCAACATTCTTGCTGACACACTAGCATTCACCGACCTGAAAACAAATATTCTAGAAAGCACAACCTGCTCTTACAACAGGTTGTGCAAGAATTAGATGTGTTCTCATCTGGCCTCTAGAAGTCTCAGAGGAGGGCTGTGCTCTTGAACAGTCACCAGAGCCCCTGAAAATCACACAAGAATATTCTTTAGTGCAGTTTTCAGAGGCTGCAGAGGCAGTCAAAAGTTTTCCAAAGCCACTTTAAGAATGAAGGCTTTGTGTGACCTGGAGCTGCTACAGGGGCTTGTCAACAGAAAGAGAACACTCCCTGAAGATAAGCAGGACACAACAGATCCCGGTAAACGCACACATGATTGGACTGTACTTTTTAAAAAAATAAATGAGTATATAAAGAATTGTTTTTCTTCTGTTCAGGATGGGGGTTATGTGTAACACGCCAGCAGAGTTAACTTAGGCATTTTCTGAATTTTTGATATAACTGAGCCTAAAAGAGTTATTATTGCAGGACTAGCATAATGGGGGCACTGGAAGTCCATTGTTGCAGTAATTATTGAAGTCCAACTCTACCTCAAAACAGGCAAAGCACAGTGCTTTGTTTCTATTATATCTGTATAGAACATGTCAGTATCGCCTTTACTAATTCTGTGATAATTCAATAAAGATGCACATTCTGTACTGCTTTGTAGATGCTTACGTTATTTGCTTTGCTTTGGATGTTTTGTCATTCTATTGTCATTTGACATTAGTTGCATTTTTTTATTGTTGTTTGGCCATTAAGTATTCTACTCTGTAAACTGCCTAGAGCAGGCATGTCAAACTTGCAACGTCACGTTGGGACTTTTTCCCCATTGCCGGCAATGGGGTGGGTGCAGTTTCGGCGTGATGCATCTGGCCCGTGGGCGGTCAGTTTGACATGCCTGGCCTAGAGTTATGATACAGGCAACATATAACTTTGATCAATTAAATAAATAAATGTTAGAAAAAGAGAACAGGACCAGTTGGCAATTATCATTCTTCTTGATTAAACTCAGTTGTCTTCATCTCAATTTAAACCCAGATGTTGAAATAGATTGCCAAGATATAATTTATCAACTACTTCCTGGATCATTTTGGATCCATTTATAAATCACAAGGATATGAATAAACTGTGCAAAGAAACAAAAGCCACCGCCTATTGCTCAACACTTTACTGGTAGAGCTATCATGGACCTTTGAACTAATAAAAATGAAGAGCATTTGTCACCTGTTCTTTACATATACCCAGATCAGCCCTACAGCTGGCAAACACCAACTCTTCTATTTGCCTTAGGCTGCTTTAGGCTCCTTTAATTCCATAAAAAGACAAAAAAAACCAAACACCTTCCCTCTCATTTTCTAAGCAAAACCACTGTACTCAGCTGCCTATCTGCTCAGCTTTTACAGCCACAGGCTGCTGGTGGCTAGAGAGAGGTCTTAAAGGGACCAGGCACCAGCAGTCCAAGTGCTAGCCATTTTGCAGGCAGCCTGTCTGCATATTGAAAATGCACTTTCAAATAATAAAATATGATCAGTTCTGATTACCTATCAAAAACATTCCAGGATGTGACTTCTATAAAATTCTAGTAACTCTTTTAGTAATTACTAAACATGCTACCAAGGAGATGTAAACGTTTTTTTCCTTTAGATCATTCTATTAAATGAGCAAAAAACCATGACACTTGGGCAATTCCAAGCACAATATACTTAAGGGGAACTTCTCATATTACATATTCTTGTATGGAAGTGGTTCCTCCATATAGGAATTATTTTACCCTGCTTATATGAAATACAAAAATTACCCCTTTGCAAATATATACCATTAAAAAATAAAGATTTATGAAATGGGACCATGACAACCTGTAAGTTAAAAAAATAGACTTTTGCATTTAGTAATGCCCATTTTTTGGAATCCTCTGTTAAAAATATTACAAGTGGGGAAAAAACAGCACATTGAAATGTTTCAAAACAATACATAAATATTGAACTAGATACACAGTCAACATCAAATAACCTTATAACATACCTATGAACAAATGTATTCATTGCCATGGTTGTCCTTAGGAATGCATTGCAGGAAACACCAGTAAGTAAATGCAGCATTTAATATTTTACTATAAGCTGCCCAGAATCACTTAGGTGAGACGGGCAGTGTAAAAATGTGATGGATAAATGGATGGGTGATGGATAAATAAATAATCTGCATAGATCTCCTTTCTCCAGTGATTTTCCAAGCACCCAATTTCTCTCCCCCCCCCCACTTTGTCTTGAATAAAGCATGTTATACAATATTTTCTATAACATTAGATGAAACTAAGTTCAACTATACCTACCTGGCCAGTAATGCCAGTGATGAGAGCTACTTTCTTGGTGCTCATACCTGCACAGGTGTCAACTGCCAATTCACAGTTGGGGCAGGTGCTTTCCTGCTTCTGAGGATACTCCAGTGCCTTAATAGGGGAGGGCTTCTAGAAATTCTCTGTTGGGTGCAGAGAAATGGGAGGGAGCCTAGCAATTGGATGAGCTGTACTTGCAAAGAGGTGTGTCGCCCGGGTACTCTTAATTAGAGTACCCGGAAAGGGATACTGTCAAGGCGAAAGCTCCGTTTAATGGCACTGAAAGAACAGAAACGATAACGAAGGCTTCGAGAATAAGTGGAGAAACCGGGTTGTGGGTTTGGGCTTTAAAAACGGGGGGGGGGCAGGTCAGAAAGGAAAGCTTGGCGTTTGCTATTGGGGTGGCCGGGATTTGGGCTGCATTTTCACGTTCGTTTCGACACGACTCTCCTGGGTAACTGGGTTATCTTCCCCTTCCCGTCGTTTCTCCCTCGCTTGCTTGCTTGCTTGCGACCCGGTGCACCTCTGCGCCACTATCTCCGCGCGCGCTCACCCATCCGCACCCGCTCCTCCGTCCTGCCGCGCGCTCAGAGCGTTGGATCGCTTCTATTCTAGGCTCGCGCGCCCCGCAACCAAGAAGGGGTGGGGAGAGAAACGAGACACAAACGCCACTCAAGTCTTTCAGCCAGCCGGCCTCTCGCTTCCGCTTCTTGAAAAACAGCGGCAGAAAGTTTTCTACCAGCCAATCAAAAGGAACGGCAAATTTAATGGGGGGGGAGATCTTGCCTTTATATATATATATATATATATATAGTTTATAGGGAAGAGCTCAGCGGTATTTAAAAAAAAGTGAAAGGGGTTGAGAAGAGGCGGGAACTTGAGGAGGGGTAGAACAGCTGTGGGAAGTACAAGGAGAAAAAACTGAAAAGACGGCACACGCACGGCCAACTGAAGGATGCTTCCGGGTTTTAGCGAGCTGAAGGAAAAGATGCCCTGCGCGTGGAGCGCATGCGCTCCGGGAAGAAAGTCTTTAGAGAGGGCGCCACCTACTTAAGGAGGAATAAAGTTCAGCCAAGAAGAACTTCAGGATTGATGAAGTGACATCCAGTCGGTGTCGACCCTCAGGGACCTCGGAAATAGAAGTTCTCTCAGATAATCTGTCTTCGACTCGATGTTGTAATTTTCTCGCTGGTGCATTCACTCCTCTCCGAGCTGAATCCAATCACCTTGCTGCAGGTCATCCTGTTTTTCTCTTTCCTTCATCGTTCCCCAGCATTGTGGACTTCTCCAGGAAACTGGGTCTTTGCATAATGTGCTCAAAATATCATAGTATGTGCCTGATCATTCATGCTTTAAATGAAAATCCTTAATTGATTTGTTCTATGATCCACTTGTTGGTTTTCCTGGCTGTCTTCGGTATCCTTAAAAGTCTTGTTTTAGGGCCAGAATTTGAATGCGTCTATATGCTTTCTGTCTTGTTTTTAAGTTCACAATTTGAATTTGTAAGATATAAAAGGTAAAAACATTATCTGAACACATCACAATATTGAAATATATTTTCCAAGACCTTGAAGACTACAAATTTCATGAAAGGAAGAAAGTTGCTGTATATAAGCACAATGTGGTAAACCAGAATCGCATTAAGTCTTAGCATACATTGAAAATCAGTGCACCACGTAATAAGATTTATTTGTTTTAGCATGACATGTTATACAAACTTATTAAGTTGGTATTGCTAATTTTGGCTTTTGATTTAATATTGTTTTTGAAAGCAGTGGGTAAGAAGAAAAAATGGGAATTAGCAGAGAATAGCAGAGAATAGAAAATGGGAAGGGTGAGTCTGATTTCATTCATGAGAAGGTTAAATGGTCTGTTGAGATTTAAAAGGATGTTACTGCTACATGAGAAAAAAAAAAGGATTTGGCATAGACCTGACTTTTTAGCAGTATGATTAGATAGCATCTTGATGCATGAGTAATTTTTATTTATAATACTGTGGCATTGTGCCATGTTTTTAAAGATACTTCTTTGTTTCAATACATAATTCTGCTGTTTGCTGGAATAGAGTCTTATGGTATAACATTTTAGTATGGCACAGGCCAACAATTTCCTTGTATTATTTGAGGAAATAGTTCCAGTATTGTTTTAATCCTGCTGCCTGATGAATGTAAATAATTTATGACAATCTTGCAACACAATTTGTAACTGATATACTTTTTCCCCAATTGTTAGGGAGTAACAGTAGATTCTTGGGATAGTGGGAGAGTGATTAGTCCCATGTTTCAGAGAGTAGTAAGAAGGAATCAGTTTGGGGGACTGAAGATTATTAGCTAATTTTTCAGGTCTAAAAAGCAAGGGAAGATGACAGTGTTTGAGCCAAGGGAAATGAACACGACAAAGGGAAGTTAACCTGACTGAAATTGCATGAAATTGGGTGGGCTGGATGAAGGGATAACAAGCAAAGTCTAGCTACATTAGAAAATCATGAGTAGTAAAGATGGTAATGAAATGGAAAAGACAGACGTTCCTTTCCAGGGATGTTGACAATAACTAATCTACAATGTAGTGGCCTGGATGTTCAAAAGATCAAGCCAATATTGTCATGTAACACTAATATTTCAGGAGTTACATTGGCTGCTAGTTTATGTCCATGTGAAATTCATAGTGCTGGTTATAATCTTTAAGTCCTTTAGGGTTTGGAGCTTGTTTTTCTGTAAGACTCCTTACTCCTAGTAGAGTAATAAATACACATGTGATCAGGGACCTATTCAAGTAAACTTGCATACATTTTTTCTTTTGTTCAGTGTGTCCAATTCTCACAAACTACCTTTCAAGTTCCTACAGTTTTCTTGGCAAGGTTTTTCAGAGGTGATTTGCTGTTGCCTTTTTTCTAGGGCTGAGATAGAGTGACTGGCTCTAAGGTCACCTAGCTGGCTTTGTGCCCAAGGCAGGATTAGAACTCATGGTCTCCTGGTTTCTAACATGATGTCCTAACCACTATACCAAACTGACTCTAAACTTGCATAAATACAGGTAGTCCTTGACTTACAACCCTTCCTTTAGTGACCATTCAAAGTTACAACAGCACTGACAAAAGTGAAAAGACCGTTTTTCACATTTATAACTGTTGTAGCATCCCTGAGGTCACATGATCAAAATTTGGCTGCTTGGCAACTGTTTCATCTTTATTATAAATAATTGTGGTGTTCCAGGATCATGTGATCACCATCATCCATTTTCTGACAAGCAAAGTCAATGGGGAAGCCAGATTTGTGTTACTAACTTAACTGCAGCGATTCACTTAACAGCTGTGGCAAGAGAGATTCTAACATGGGGAAAAATTTACAATTGACCCGCTTTAGCAACCAAAAGTTTGGGCTCAGTTGTGGTTGTAGGTTGAAGAATACTTGGAACTACCCAGGACAGATTGAAAGTGGAAGGAAAAACTTCATATTTGTTGCTCTCTAATACCAAATAAGCACATGACAGTTAATGCTGAATATGCAAATTCTGTGACATGTCTTCTACCTTTAAAGTTGCAACGGCATACTTATATAATAATTAATAGACAATCTTATCAATGAATATTTGTAAAAGCCCACTTCAGATTTTGCTACTTTATTGTAAAAAGGGAGGCAAAAAGCTAGAATTAGCAAACGTAGCTCTTCAAACACCTATAAATCTGTAAATGTCTAGATGATACTGATTGACAGAAAATATTTGGAGGATGAGTACAAAATAGAATATCCTTTTTAAAATCAGAAGAGTGAGGCAAAATTGATATGCAGCAATACTAATCAGATTGTTCTTATTTTAATATGGAAATAGATGCCTTTTCATATATATACTTATATAATTCCTACTCCAGAATGATATATTTTCCTTTTTTGTTTTAAACTGACATATTCTTCATAAAACAAAGACTTTCCCTGGGTTGTAATAATACAAAACTTTGGAGTTCTCTGGATTTAAACATATGCTCAAAAATCTTAGATTACTTCTACATAATTGAAAGTATTATTGTAAACCTAGACCAAAAGTTCCTGTTAATTTCCCAAGGAATGTCCATGATTTAGTCTAGACATCAAGAAGCTTGTCCACTTTCTTCAGTGAAAATTGGTTATTGGCAAGATTGTATCTGGCTTTGTTATAAAATTAGTGGAGTAGGTTACTTTTGAAAGTGAGACTGGGGAAAAGTATCCATTTCACTATTTGAACTCCTATGATACAGTGAATTGCTTATCTTCCACATCTGTGAAAAAAAATATTTTGTTTAATATTTAGCATTCTATGTAAGTATAGCTGAATGTAAAGCTGTCTCTTTTTGTTATATTGCAGTATGCTAAAAAGAAAGCCTGTAATAAAAGGAAATATTATAGTCTCTTTACAATGTCCCATTAGTACATAGAAAATTACTTCCGGTGTTTTATTACCTTGTTAAAGCTGGGAAAGCACCTGCTCCTTTTGCCAAAAGGAAACAAACAAGTTAAAGTAATATTATGAACAATAATATTTTCTGAGACTCTGGGCCACAGGTTTAGCAGCATTCTAGGATGATAATCCAAAAAAGAGTGAGTAGGGCCTATTTAGTTACTCCTTTGGTTTGAAACTTTTTGAAGGGATTCAAAAATTACATAGTAGCCTGTAATAATCCCAACCTCAGACTAATTAATTCCAGTATAATGATTATATTGTCTGGAATACATACAGTGGTACAACACAAGACATTCATTCAATTTATGTTTGGTTCACGTTTATTCCACTGAAATACTCAACAGCTAAGTGCATGTTTCTTTGGCAAGTGCTGTTTAAAAGTGTGGAAAATTGCAGTACTGTATATGCCGGCGTATAAGACGACTTCCGGAAGCGCTAAACTTGGTGCCAAAGACGGGGGTCGTCTTATACGCCGAGTCGTCTTATACGCCGGAAATACTGGTAGTTTCCGACGTATAAGACAACGTTCTAGGAATGCGGCTCAGCGACAAAGACGGGGGTCTTTTTATACGCCGGGTCGCCTAATACGCCGGCATATACGGGTAATTAAAATGTGCAATTTTAGTTGAAAAGAAAAAAAGAAAAATGAAAAACAAATACAGTATATCCTAGTGGATTTTATAGATTTATGAACATGGCGTGACATATACTGCTTAAAATATTATCTCCTTAAAATTATAAATTGATTTATGAATATATGCAACTATGGCTTGTTGGGACAGAGGATGGATTTTATTTTTGTTATGTAGCTTTTTTTCGGGAGAGGGGAGAGTTGTACTTTATGGTGTTTTGTTTATTTCAATGTTTTCTTAGTTTGTTCAAATAAAATTTTAAAAAAATAATTAAATACTTGTTTCTTAGACAAATAAAACCTAAAATTGACAAAATATGAGAACACAAGCTATGTGATCTATGTCAATAAATATTAAAAACATCAATATAACAATGTCAGATTGGGGCTGAATCATTAACAACACTGACGAAATCTTAATAGAAATGCTGCTAGCATTATATATTCCTCTTTTAATTAAAACTGAATGTCATACACATCCCTTTTATTCATAATGAATCTGTAATTCAGTTTGATTACTTTGTCAACATTAGAAACAAGTTATCAAACCAATGCTTCATCCATAACAAATTCCTTGGAACTAATCAAAAGCAGATCTGAGATGTAGAAATTTGCAAAACTAGATTAATCCACTTTCCTTGGAATGTCAATACTTTACTTGAAGATGGAAAAATAAAACAGTAATTCTGCCCTAGTATCACAAAAGTAGTGAAGTGAACTTAAGTTCTTACCAAGTGGTTAATAAACATAAATGATATACAAATAAGGAGAAATTCCTATTTTTTTGCATGAAATGAAAGTGCAGCTGAAATCATGGATACAAAGTATAACATGAGCAAAGAGTTAATTACATTCTGAGTCTAAAATTAGTAAGCCAGAGCCATTT